GGCCATTGTAGGCTTGCAGGGATTATAATGCAATGAAAATTGCACAAATCACATAACACATGCATTGCACACAGGGCAATGAGACTGATCAAAACAACCTTTTGTGATCAATAATATGGACCATTTGAGCATTCGTAACAGAATTTCCTTGATTAGGAAGATGCAGAGAAACAATAGCCAATAAAGTGAAGCTTAAAAGATGATCGTCTCTAAGGCCTTTAACATTTTTTATCCAAAGAACTGATTATCAGAGAATTTCCCACCACTATTCAACATGTAATCAATTTTCTCGACTCTCTGAATGTCGGAGGGGCTCAACATAAAGTTTATAATTAAACAGGAGTACGGGTATCCTAGTGTTAATGTAAATTGTATAAATTTACCATCACCTACCACACACTTACCATCACCTACCACACACTCACCTACTACACTCACCTACCACCACCATCCACTACACCTACATCTATATAAGGAACCATTTGTAATAGACAGAATATCAATCAGTACAACAATCAATCAATTAATCAATCAATAATACATCTATTTTTTACATGGTATCAGAGCTATAGGTTAAAGATTTTGGTGTTCTTCGCCTTCCGGCGGGCGGCAACCTTGCCTTGACCGCCCGCCGGGTCTCAACCAAACTGTACCATACTATACCATAGTAAGTAACCATTTGCAGAGACCAGAATAGTGAGAATGGCCACTATGAACCTCCCTTTCTATCTTCTTTTTCTACACCATGGATGACTTTCGGAGAAGCCATGTACCGGCTTCCGGAAGCTGGGATTGCACCGACGATCTCCCTTTTCACTCAGTGCTTCGAATCGGCGAGGCAAGCCGGCTTGCTTCGCTACAGCTACTCTGCAGATCGCGATCTCTACGTCGCCGGCGATTTGTACGAGAACGACGTCGTCCCCTTCCTCCTCAAATACCAGCTCCCCAACGACGACCTCGACTCCCTCATCTCCGTCACCACTGTCCCGTTCGTTTTCCAGCTTGGGATTGCCGTCGGCCCATCTCCTCTTCCTCCTAATCCCAGGTTTGAGAACCCACCGGCTGGAGGGGTCTCGAAATCACCGTTGTCCAGCAATCCGTCTTGTAATTGTCCAGCAGCTAAATGAAGAAGAAGTAGCCCAGAGAGTGAGACCCATTTGGTTCTTGTTGAGCTCCAAACAATCCTCATAGCCATATGTATGTGTGTTCGCACTCTCTTTTCACCTTTCTCTCACTTCCTTCTCTCTCTAAAAACAGCGTACTGCACACACTCACTTGATGAGTGCTCAAGGTAAGAAGAACTATACTGTGAGAGAGGGAGTGAGACGAGTAGTGTCCTTTTATCTGAGATTCCAGGTCCAGCCACTTGGCCTCTTTACTCTCTCTCTCTCTCACAGTATAGTTCTTTTTACCTTGAGCACTCATCAAGTGAGTGTGTGCAGTACGCTGTTTTTAGAGAGAGAAGGAAGTGAGAGAAAGGTGAAAAGAGAGTGCGAACACACATACATATGGCTATGAGGATTGTTTGGAGCTCAACAAGAACCAAATGGGTCTCACTCTCTGGGCTACTTCTTCTTCATTTAGCTGCTGGACAATTACAAGACGGATTGCTGGACAACGGTGATTTCGAGACCCCTCCAGCCGGTGGGTTCTCAAACCTGGGATTAGGAGGAAGAGGAGATGGGCCGACGGCAATCCCAAGCTGGAAAACGAACGGGACAGTGGTGACGGAGATGAGGGAGTCGAGGTCGTCGTTGGGGAGCTGGTATTTGAGGAGGAAGGGGACGACGTCGTTCTCGTACAAATCGCCGGCGACGTAGAGATCGCGATCTGCAGAGTAGCTGTAGCGAAGCAAGCCGGCTTGCCTCGCCGATTCGAAGCACTGAGTGAAAAGGGAGATCGTCGGTGCAATCCCAGCTTCCGGAAGCCGGTACATGGCTTCTCCGAAAGTCATCCATGGTGTAGAAAAAGAAGATAGAAAGGGAGGTTCATAGTGGCCATTCTCACTATTCTGGTCTCTGCAAATGGTTACTTACTATGGTATAGTATGGTACAGTTTGGTTGAGACCCGGCGGGCGGTCAAGGCAAGGTTGCCGCCCGCCGGAAGGCGAAGAACACCAAAATCTTTAACCTATAGCTCTGATACCATGTAAAAAATAGATGTATTATTGATTGATTAATTGATTGATTATTGTGTCTATTACAAATGGTTCCTTATATAGATGTAGGTGTAGTGGATGGTGGTAGTGGTGTAGTGGGTTAGGTTTAGTGGAGTAGGTGAGGTGGTAGTGGTGTAGTGGGTTAGGTTTAGTGGAGTAGGTGAGGTGGTAGTGGTGGTAGGTGATGGTAAATTCTAACACTCTCAAATGGAATAATCTCAATAGATTATATAAAATCTTAAGAGAATATTGCGGATTCGTTAACAAAAGATTTGACCAAAGAGCAAGTGTATAATTCATCGAAGGGGATGAGATTAAAGCCTATTACATAAGAGTCATCCTAATGGTAACCCTACTTATATGATTGGAGATCTCAAGAACTAAGTTCAAAGGGACAACTAAGTTATGTGTGGCTTGCCATAATTCACCAATGGATTAAAATTCCCTACCCGTTCCTATGGTGAGAGTGATATCTACGTCATGTGTTGTATGCAGGGGTCTAAGGATAAGCTTAGCTTTTAATGATTACTTATGTCTTGATTTAGGCATAAAATCAAGACGAGTATAAGAGATACTCACAATAAGAATCACCTATATGAGTATCGAACTGGGGCTGGTTCTATGAGAATGAAGAGGCTAAATTCTCTCGAAGCACTCATGAACAATTAAAAGCGTTCAAGGCTAAAATGAACACAATCGTGAGAACCACGATGTGTCAGAAGATATTTTGTGTGAAATCTATTATCTTAGTTTACACAAACGGCTAAACAATTCAAGGCATCGCGTCCATTGGTTAGCTAGTAAGTCCGATAGATTATCACTAGGGAAGGTTCAAAGTCGAAAGCTACTTATCCTGATGCAAGATATTTTCGATTTATACTCCTTCAAAAAATTCTGCATATTGTTGCATTTTCATTGTCTTCAAATTCTATTTATGTGGGGGATTGTTAGAAATGGTTTTGAAAATTTTTGGAAAAAACAGAATTTTTTCTAAACTTTGGTCTAATTTTTAAGTGGGACCCGTATGCCAAAGTTGGCGGGTCTAAGTGGTAATGCGTTCTATGCCGCGTTGTGATTCACGTGGTATATTTGGTTGCTCAAAACCATTATCGGATGAATGAAAAATTGAAGCCAAAGAGAGCTACATGGAAATGGAGTTTTGGTGGAAATTTCTTAAAGGTGTGGTTTAGGCTTGTCCTATATTGATTTGGTGGGAAACTTTGAGTGGGTTTATAAGGCTTGAAGTTGGAACTTGGGGTAGGCCCCAAAGGGCACCCAAGTTTTGTAGAGAGGGAGGTTATAGGCAAAATGGGCTAGACCCATTGGACCCAAAATAAACACACACGCGCGCGCCGCCATCGCCGTCTGTCCGGTCGGGCGGACTGGGTTGGGCTGGGCTTAGGTGCGAGTTTATGGTGTGTGCTTGGGTTGGGCTTGTTCGGCCCAATACTAATCTTGTTGGGCCAAAAACATTTGAATTTTATTTTATTTATTTAGAAATAAAATCTATTCAGTTTTTATTTCAAATTTCTGGTTGGAAATAAAATTCAAATTCAATTTTTTGCACCTCTTCACAAACAGATCTAACAGTCTGTACAAATTCAAAATTGTTCAAATACAATTTTTTATCTATTCAAAATTCAAACCCCAAAACAGTTTCATATATGTTTAACTGTAAACCAAACAGATTCACATCTGTTTAATTCAAATTGAACAGGTCTTGCACCTGTTGAGTACTGTCCAAACAGGTTTTTTACCTGTTGAGTTCAAATGTGAAGAGCCACCACTCCATTTATAAATAGACTAGTCCTTCATTTGGATTTGCACTAGAATTTTCATCTATGATTCTGCTTTTGCTCTCTGCATATTTTGCTGCATTAATTACATTAATTTCAAATTTCTGTGAAAAAGAGTGTATACACTTAGTGTGTTCGTTGTGTGAATAAATTATAGTGCTGCATTTATTCGTTGTTGATCATTTCATCCTGGGAGATAGACGTCCACATTCTAAAAACACCGTGGAGAGGACGAATCTGTCTTGAGGACACAGTTTCTAACACTAGACTTGATCAGAATATTATTCAAGAAATTAATCAAGTAAATTGTTAATTTATTTTCTAATTTATTTTTTTATTTAAATCAGATTTTGATTTTGTTTTTGTAACAAAATAAAAATATGTTTTTATTTATTTTATTTTATTTTTCTGGTTCAATTTTTGTAATCAAACAAATTCTCTCATTTTCTTTTATTTCTTATGTACTTTGTTTGTTGTTAAGTACACAAACATAATTTATTTTTCAAATACAGTGAAGATTGTCCAACACATACACACGGTGCAAGAGCCAGAGACTTCTTCGATGGAGAAGCTTCCAACAAAGGCGTCGAAGACTGAGCGACACTCGACAGTGGAGCAAGGCAAAACCCTAGCAAGAACATTTCTGAGAGAGAGAGAGAGAGATGGACAAGCAGTACGAGGGAGAGAGATGGATAATGGTAAAGAGAGAAAAATAGAGACGCTTTAGGGTTTGTTTCGTTTCAACTTTTTAGCTAAAAAAACACAGAAGATAAAATCGGCTAAATCTATATAATAAGGCAAGAAAGTTTTTTAAAATGTATCAAAATATCTAAGAGATATATTTTATATCAATGGCTGAGATATAATTCCTAATCAACAGATGAGATGACAATGGAAGGCTTAGATTGAAAATGTGTATATTTTTGTCCTACATGGCATCCAATGGTTTAGATCATTTCATCTACAAAATTGATGGTCAAATTTGTTTGGCTCAAAATATGTTTTCCATCAATTTCTCCTCTCTTCTCTCATTACTTTTGTCCTCTTTCATTATTCCATTACTCACTCTCTCTCTCTCTCTCTATGTCATTCTCTCCAGAAAGTGTAATGACTCTCTTTATATCTCCCTCTTCTCCCCATCGAAGTTGTTGTTCAAAAAGCTTCAACAGATTCGAAATACATGAGGTAAAAAGCCCCAAGAATAGAGGTAAATAGCTGTGTGATGTATGTGTTCATCTGATGATGAAGCTATTTTTATTGAAGGTATCCCATGAGCAAACCAAATGGATAGTTGGAGCAAAGAAGCAGTTGGGATGATGGCCTTTCTTGAAGCCCTCAGAAGCGTTTGTTTCAACTCAAACTGGACTGACTTTGTTTTTTGGCCAATTCATTCTCGCCAGTATATTCCTTTCTCTCTCTCTCTGCACTCTTCATATCTTCAAATTAAGATGTTTTCTCAAATGGGTCTCTGCCATTATTGCAGGAGAGTTAGATGTGGTAATGGTTGCAAAGTTGGAGACGACAATGGTAGCTTATGAGTATAAACTACTTCTTTCCTTAATTTTTTTGCAAAAATGGAGGAAAATAAGAGATAGGTTCTGCTATTGTTTTGTTTTACTGTTTTTTATGTTGTTCTGAGGTTAAGTACTGTTTGGATGAGCAATTAATTGAAATGGGTTATGGGTTGATTGTGTTTTTTTTATTTTATTTATTTTATTGTGTGTAGGATGTTGATGTGGGAAGATGGGTTTTGCAAAGGAAGAATTGTAGATTGTTTGGAAGAAATTGTGGGTACTTGGTAGCTTTCATTTTTAATTTTTTTAAATATGAAATCTCTCTCTCACATATAGTAATTTTGGAGAGTAAAATTGATTATACAAATAAGAAAATTGGCAAAATCTTTAGTACTCCTCTCTCTATTTGATTTTTAATTTTTTTTTTATTTTTTTAATCAGTTGTTGTTCATAGCATTTCAGTGTACCATGTTAAACCATTAAAGGTATCCTACTTTTTTAATATGATGCATGGCTTCTATTGGGAATTAAATTGTTCAATTTATTTTTAGTTTATGATTTTTTTTAAAAAAAATTAATATTATTATTTGTAAATGTTCTCATCTTAGGATATAATTTATCCAATTTAATGTAATGCTTGATCTTATTTTTAATTTTTTTAATATGAAATCTCTCTGTTTCTTAAATGGATTTAATTTTTTAAAAGGTTTTGGATTTGAAACAACATTTGAACTTCATAAAATGGATTTTGATTTTAGAAATGAATTTTTATTTTCAATTTGATTTTTGACGTGGTTTTGAAATGGGTATTAATTTCCTATAATTTAATCAAATCACAAATTTGAGAGAAAATAGAGTGAAGTAAAAAATAGAAAGCGCATGAACGAAAGACAGGATTCATCACCGTTCATTGCCATTGTCTCCGTTTCGTGACTGTCCACCACCATTAAAGAAGAAGATGAAACAAAGGAAATAAAGGGTTTTAAAGAGAGAATAGTTAAAGACGTTAGAGAGAGAGAGAGAGAGATAATGGGCAGAGGGAAGAGAGGAGAGAATAGAGATAATAGGTAGAGAGAGAATGAGTGGAGAAGATGGAGAGAGAGAGAGAGAGAGAGAGAGAAAATGAGTGGGACGGATGTAAAGAGTCATAGAGAATTGTTATTCATTTTATCTCTATTGTTAAATAATTGAAAATTTTAGTGTAATCGGGAACATGTGTATTCTCTCAAAAAAATAATAATAATAATAATAATGATAATGATAATAATAAAGTCAAACAGAATTATTTTAATAGATTAAAATAGTTATATTTGAGAAGATAATTAATTTAAGAAAAAATGATTATGAATTTGATGGTCTAACCCAATAATTTTAATTTGAGTGATGTCTGTCAAAACAAAAAGGGCAAAGGGGCCAATTTCTTAAATAGATTAAAAATCAAAGATTATATTTTATTATATATATATATATATATTTTTTTTTATAATCAAGCCTGCTCTAGATTTAAGGATTTATGTATTTTATGCTCTTAAAAGTGAAGAGCATGCCTAAATTTATGGGTATTTGTAGTTAAAAAACAAAACTACAAAAAAGTAGGGAAGAGGAGTTTGGAGGCAAAAGACATGTGAAATTGATCCCTGTTTTTGTTTTTGTTTTTTGACATTTGCTTTGTGGTTTATCAATTACAAAATAAATCAAATTATGATTTATGGGTCAAAAACATTATTGAGCAATCAACAATATTTTTTGTCACTATGTATTTATATTTTGATCTCAATTTTTTAACAACGAATTTAATAAATTACATTTTTATTTATATTTTAATCTCATCATTAATTACACCATACCTTCAGGCAGGGGCATATACTAATAAGGGAAATGGGGTCACTACCGTGCTAAAAGCACAGCAGTGATTGTAGTGCCTGTGTTTGAGGTGTATTATGACTTTATTTTTATGATCCAAACCGTTAATTTTTTAGAGTTTGTTGAGTGCTTCATACCTACCAAAAATCATATTAATCAGATATTAACAACTATATGATCGATAACCAAAAAAAATAAATAATAAGTTTTTCTTTTGAAAAATAACATAAACAATATGCAATTCGATCATATGGTTATTGATATTCGATTAATATGATTTTTGGTAGGCATGAAGTACTCAATAAACCTTACAAAATGAACGGTTTGAATTATAAAAATAGGGCCATAATACACCTCAAGTGGAGGGCACCACAAGCACAACATTGACTCTATTTCCACTAATAAGTTAATAAGATAAAATATCACATTTAAATCATAATTATTTTATTTTTTTTCTCATAAAAGTTAAAAAAATTGAACCAAACAAACTTTTAGTTATAAGTTAAAATAACTAAAAAGTCAAAAATTCAACTAAAAAAAGCCTATTACCAAATGACGTCTACATTTCGACGACTCAAATTGAGACGCGGGAAATCATCACAATTTATACTATTATATTAGGTGAGCCTTTATTTTGATTTCTTGAAACTTTTACCACGTGGCATTTACATTAACATTTACATTAAAAAAAAAAAAAAAAAACTACTCTACAATATAACTTCCCACTAAATCACGGTAGCATTTGGTAGAGTTTTCTAAATATGATTTGAGAATAGAATTGTATTTTGAGTTTGTGAGTTTTAAAATTATAATTTGAGTGTGAAAAATTTATTTGATTATGAATTTTGAAAAGAATTTTGAATTAAGTTTGAAATGAATGATGTGACATATAATATTTAATTCAAAAACTTACAACTCATAACTAAAGACATAATCCAAAATCCTATTCAAAGCTCATAATTTTTTTTAAATTCTACAAATATTTTTTATTTAAAATATAAAAATAACGAGTGCAAAAAAAAAATAAAAAAAAAATAAAAAAAATCGAACACTGTTCCGATCAATCGGTCGACGTCTGGGTTAGCCAAATTTTCCCGCCTAGAAAGGAGTTTTCAAAAGTGGATATGAAATTATAATTTGAAAACTCAAAACAAATACCATACTAAAATCAATAAGTTTATGTGTTTAGAGAGCTTCTCCAAACATAGCCCACATTTTTCAAGTACCTACCATAATAACTTCTTTGCTTCTCTAAAAACTTACTTTTATTATTTCTTTTTTCACTTTTTGCTTTCTTCCTCCATTTTCTACAATGGTTTTCTCTTTTAAAGAAAATACAAAAATATTTCATTCAATTATGGTAAATGAAGTACAAACTAATAGATGATTGTATTTTGTTTCTCTTTAAGGGTAAGTGATCTAAGAGTTTTCAATTTTTATATTCTTAATAACTAAAATTTTGTTTATTTGCTTTTTGTTTTTGGGTATAAATTTTGTTTATTTTTATTCATTGTGTTTTCAATTTTTTATTCTTTCTATCTTTCTTTAGAACGTAGGCAAATTGATTTTCAATTTTCAAACTGTTTCCAAAAAAATAGTATTTTAAACTTTTCAAAAAAAAATTTGCACACACAAAAAAATAATGAGGATGCATTAAAAATATATAAATTTAAAAAAATAAATTGAATATAAAAATAATTTTGGCCGAACTCAATATTCGTAATTGAATACATCCTCATTCTTAACTCAAAGAGATTTGATGAACATAAAAAATCAATAAATAAATAAAAATTAAAAACTCAAAGATAATGCAAAAGTATATGAGAGTGTGTATGTATATATCATATCAAATTTTTAGAAAAAAAAAAAAAAGTTATGTGATTGAATATATGAATTAAAAAAACAAATTGAATGAGAATACATTAAAAATTTTAATAATTGAAAAGCAGTTTTTCTTAGTTCAATTTTTATCAACTCAATTACATAATTTTTTTTATTATCAACTCAATTACACAATTTTTTTTTTTAAAATTTGCACACACATTACGTATGCCTCGGGAGCTAGTAAATAGTGATATATAGTTTGGTCATTTTATTTGAGTTCCTTCTTTTAAACAAAATATTTGAGCATCTAACAAGAAAAATTCAAATTTGAATTTATTAACTGAGAAGGCAAAATTTTTATCCCAAATTTATTAATATATTTTCTTTTGCTATCTTCTATTTTCCCCTCAATTTACACATTGATCTAACAGCCAAGATTCAATCACATGTTGGCTTCTTTTGAAATGTGGGTTGATTTTTTGACTTTTGAACTATATTAACCTGAGATTAAAAAGTCTGTTTGAAATTTTTTTTTTTGACTTTTTAAAATTTTTGTAAAATAAAATATATAATCTAACCCAACCAACCCTTCCTCCCAAACAAGGCCGTTGTTGCTCTCGCATTGACGGATCAGATTAATCACAAGTTTCACAAACCTGGTCGTCGAGAGAAGAACTCCTACGTGCTCCGGATCCCAGAACCTCGTTCTAAACGGAGAAACACAGAAACCACTCTCTGGGTTTCTTCACTCTGATCCATCACAATGTACAGGACAGCAGCTTCACGCCTCAGGGCTCTCAAGGTCACTGCCTAGCTCCATATATATATATATATATACCCACTTATGTGTGATTGAGTGTAATGCTTGAAATCTATTGATTTCTTATTTGTTTAGTTTGTATATCTGATTGCGGTTCAGTGCGATATATATAGTTGGTGTTTGGCTGCTGAGAAAATGTTGGAAACGAAAAGATTCCAATTTTTTTTTTTTTTTTTTTTTTTTTTTTTTTTTTTTTTTTTTTTGAATCTAGTTCCCTTGGTTGGAACTCATTATTGAAAACGGATGTGATCAAAAAATTAGAGCAAATTACACATTACCCCCTCAATTGTGAGCCATTATCACTTTGCCCTATTCAACTAAAAATTGTTACATTTTACTTGATCTTTTGATTTATTTTAATTTAAACCTCTATTAATTAAGGATTATAACACCAATACTCAAAAGTTATGACCTTTGTTTTGTCTTTTGTTCTTTTGTTTTTTTGGTTTGTTGTTGTTGTTGTTGTTTTTTTTTTTCCTCTCGTTAGTTGACTTGCATTGGAATGGAGTGTGGTGGGAATTGTTGGAATCTAAATGATTGGGGTGTCCTATTCTCGGATTTCGTTGATGTAATGTAACATTATGGAGTTCCTTGTTCTGCTGGAAAATAGCTTTATGTAACCATTTTGAAAAAGAATTTTTATGGATAAGAAAGCCATTGCTGGTTACTTTTGACCCTAATAGTGTTAGATTATTAGATCAGATTTTAAGTGTTATCACTTAACTTGTAATTTAGTGGTTGGGAGCCTAAACCAATTGATGCAATGGCTAGAATCTGGATTAGAGTTTGAGCAAGACAATTGGCATTGATCAATTCCTACAAAGGAGGAAGCATTTATAGTCCCATCCCTCCTGTCTCTCAATTGTAACTTCCAAGCATCAATAAACATGGAATCAGATCTATGAAGCACAGATAATTTCATCGGGTGACGTATACGGATACCGATATTCGCTGATATGTATCGGATACTTATTAAAAGTATCAGATACTTCTTAATTAATTTTTCATTAA